CAAAACTGCTGGAATTAAAATCATTTTTGCCGGTCGAGAATTACCTGATGAATTAACACTCGGGGTGAGTGATTTTTAGGAAAATATCAAGCTTTTAATGTGATTTATATAACAATTTTCAAAGAAATAACGAAAGCTTTACTGTGAAATGTTTAAATGATTTCATAAATGAGGTTTTTTTTAGTTCGGGATTTTGATGTTTAAAGCGACCATCTTCGTTATAGTAAATCTGAGAGAAATCTGAGATAGATTATGATACAGCTTGTCTTGCTTGAGTCAGTCCATCTCAGAATATCACAGTGTCTGAATCTTGATAAAATTATTTTTTAAGACATTTTTCAAAGCCATCTTTCTCCACTAAAACCTGACCCAAACTTACTTACGTGAATTCTCACTCATGGACAGTTTCCAGGATTTTCCAATATCGTGTCCAATTCAAAATTATCCTTCATGTGTATAAGGCTATGAACGACCTTGCTCCACCGTATTTGAAGGAACTCTTGCATTATCATACTTCGCAGCGTTCACTTCGATCAAATAACTGTGAATTGCTCCAGATTCCCTGTTCTAGACTGAAGACATTTGGGGATAGATCATTTTGTGTCGCGGGACCACGATTGTGGAACGAATTACCCATTAATCTTCGGATCTTCGGATGTGCAAATCAATTACTGTTTTTAAAAAAAATCTTAAAACATATCTTTTTAACTCATTTTTGAATAATGTATGACGTTGGTCTTAACATTTATATTATTAGGTTTGTTAATGATTTAGATATTTTAATAGTTTTAATATTAGATTTTACTGTAAAGCGCCTAGAACAGAACACAATTTGGTTGTGCGCTATAGAAATACTTTTATTATTATTATTATTATATTTTTGAACAAAAACAAGCTTGCACTTTTATTTTTGCCACGAAAAATATTGACGGAAAATGGCCGAAGAAGAGCATTATTTGATACATGTGAATGTTATATTTATTCATCTTTGATTTTTGTTTATATTACTGTATCATTATTATTTAACGAGTAAAAAAACAAAGGTTTTGGAAGCCACTTCAGTGCTTGCTTGGCGACTAGGCGGCAAGAATGCTGCAGCGCATTGTATCAATAAATAAATGAACTAAATACTGTATGCCATATAATAAATCCCTTATTAACCGAATACGTTCGGTCCGTACTGGAAAAATATCAGACCTCGGTCTTTTATGTACGGACCTCGCTATCGTTCCGTCCGCACTGTCAAGACCTCAGTCTGATATTTTTCTAGTACGGACCTCAAATTCGGTTAATAAGTGGTATATATTGACCTTCTATTTCTTAACAATGCTAAATTATATTATATATTCGCATTTCGTAACATTATGCTCCGCGATCACTGACGTCACTGAACTCGACTATTTACTTATTATTTCAAAAATATTTATTGGAATTCCTATGCCCGCATATTGTCATAACAAAGTGTTTTTTGTAATGAAATTGTTGTGTAACATGTATGTTTTCGTTCCTATATAACAAAACACTTAATGTACACTCCCTCGGTAAATAGTGAGTTTTGTTTTCCCTCGAGTCTCAATGTTTCCCTCAAAACAAGACTCACTATTTCCCTCGGTAGCATACATTAAGTGTATAATGTAATCTCATGCGTTATCATAATTTACAAATTAAACGAGACTTACCAAAGTCGATGTTTGATTGTAATTCTTGCTCGTCACCAGTCAGGAACGAAGGAGTTACATGAGAAGCACGCGCGTGCGCATTCAGTCAATCTTCACAGTGAACGTTACCAGCAAAAGGAACGAAGGGGACGGGAGGGGAAAGGGAGCGCATGTAACTCCTTCGTTCCTGACTGGTGACGAGCAAGAATTACAATCAAACATCGACTTTGGTAAGTCTCGTTTAATTTGTAAATTCTACCTCGTCACCAGTCGTAGTCACTACGGAGTTACATGAGACTTTAAAGTGCTGGTAACGTGATCTACATACGTAGCAGTCCAAGTTAGTCAAGCAATTAAAGTGCTAGAACCATGTTACATCTTAATGCATGATACATGAATAACGCCAATAATGGGTATAAACAAAAATAACAATCTAAACGATTTAGCATTCATTGTTTTGCATTTCATAATGTTCTATAATGTTAGTACCAAAGTTCTTTCCGATAGGCTTTTTGTAGTACTTTGCAAAGGTTTTTGCATTCGACCAACCCCCTGCTTTCAATATTTCTTGCAGTGTCAACCCCCCATTCATTCCATAAGACGTCGATGCCGGCCTCGCGCTATTTCCAGAAAATGTGGTCACATCGACACCCGCATCTTTTAAAACAGATTTTTTCCACTTGCTGATTGTGCTACTCCCAACCGGCTGATGTGGTTTGATAAAGCTGATTAGTAACTTAGAGTGTTCTCCCCTTAAAGTACTATGACACGTGTGACACGACACATAAGCTTTCATTCGGAGTGTAAGTTTCTAGGTGTATCGGGTCAAGGTGTTTACCAGGTCTAGTGGTTTTTAATTTCTCCCCGATAGCAAAAATGTTCTTTTCCGGTGACTCTTGCATACATTTTATATCCAGTAGCGTAAGGGTTTGGCAGCGCTGTCCTGTCAGCAAGCCCAACAACGTAGTCAGCTTTTTGGAAAGTGTTTTTAAATCTAACCCTGGGGCTGGTCCTAAAGTTTCTAAGTACTTCAGAACATCCCCGACGTCCCATATATGAGAATACCTGGGTAACGAAGGCTTAAGTTCAAAAACACCTTTTAATAACCGTACAACCAGGGGATGATTTCCAAATGTGCCATGATCGGACGTGTGGATGACCATTGACAAAGCGGAACGAGCGGTGTTTATCGCACTATATCCCATACCCTTGTGGTATAGTGATGCCAAAAAATCTACGCCATTTCCAACCGTTGCGTTGCAGTGATCAATGCCTTTCTCCTTGCAAAACAGCTCCCATCGAGCAAGATAGGTTCGATATTGTTTGCTGGTCCCATTGCGCCAGGATGCCATTATGATATCTTTAGCCATAGTGCTAATGTTTGCGTTGTTCAATCTGTCGCGGACAAGTGGCAGACAAGAAGAGATAACTTCCTGTGGAGTGGATGAGTGGCCAATGGCTGGCTTGGTAATCGCAGTAGATTTGCACTTGGTTTCAGTAAAACTGTTCTTTGATTTGCCATCTCCATTGCTTTCGGAAACCACGCCTGTGTAGGCCAGTTTGGCACTACACATATGCCGCTTGCTCTGTCTTCTTGTATCTTCTTCAGTACTAATGGTAACAAACTAAAAGGCGGGAAGGCATAAAAATCATGTTGCGCCCAGTCCAATGTAAATGCATCAATCCCAATTGCTCCTGGGTCTGGTCTATATACGCCACATAGCGATCAAATTGGGCATTAAGTCTAGTTGCAAAAAGATCAATATCTGGGGTGCATCCTAATGCTTTGAGAGCTTTTACTAAAAGCTCTTTATCAAGCATCCACTCAGATTGTGATCTATTCTTCCTAGATTCACGATCTGCTTCCGTGTTTGATTTTCCGGCTATGTGGGCTGCACTAACCCATATACTTCGCGAGATGCACCAGTCCCAGATCTGCTTTGCTAAATCATTAAGCACGCAAGAGTGGCTGGTACCCATATGGTTGATGACAGCTACCGCTGTGCTGTTGTCAACCATCAAGCGTACATGTGTATCATGGTGTTTCTGGAAATATGCTTTCAGCCCTAGGAACACCGCTAAAAGTTCTAAGTAGTTGATGTGGAACTGTTTCTCGTATCCAGACCACAATCCCCCTGTAGAGCTATTTGCCGTCACTGCCCCCCAACCTTCATTTGATGCATCTGTTGTCAGGTTGAAAGAGGGGCCTGCCCTGGACATGAAATTTTTAGACTCTAAAACGTGGGAGGTCCACCAAATTAGTTCCTCTTTAGCTTCAACCGATAGTGTCATATGCTTGTCAAAATTTCCCTTGTGTGTTTGTAGAGCAGTAGTTTTATCATGTTCTAATAGACGGTAATGCAATGGCCCATACATTACTCCCGGGAATGACGCTACAATTTTACCAATCACACGCGCCACTTCCCTAATAGTGGGTGATTGTCTCTCTAGTAGCTCTTTGCAGCTATCAAGCAACTTAGTAGCTTTGCTACGGGCTAAAATGACTGTCATATCAACCGAGTTCAACACAAAGCCAAGAATCTCAAGCTGCTGTGCAGGATTAAACATTGATTTTGTAGGATGGGCGATTAAGCCCAAGGCGTCAAATTGGCTAACTGTGTCAATGACATTATTTACGCATTTTGTATATGTTTTGCCCTCCAAATATATATCATCAATATAGCCACTAGATATGTGGCCCTTTATATGTAATTCGCTAAGAGCAGGCTTTAATAGCTTCGTAAATTTGCGCGGTGCGCAAGATAATCCGTTTGGCATGCAAGTGAACTGATATAACTGTTCTCTCCAGACGAAACGCAGATAAGCCCGGTGCCGCTTTGCAACCGGAACCGAATAGTATGCGTCTTTCAAGTCTATGCAAGCCATGAAACAAGGTGTCCATTAAGGTGTCCATTTTAAAATGGTGTTTTGTTACAAATTGATTCAATTTCTCAAGATTCAATATAACCCGAAAAGTACCGTCTTTTTTCTCGCGTAAGAAAATTTCGGAAATAATTTCATGTTTGCTACTTTTAACTGGTTCAATCACCTTTTTTGCGAGCAGTTTTTGTATCTCTGAATCAATGATTAGAGTTTCTTCGCTTGTGCGTTTCGATTTTGGTATGTAGTGCTGAGTGGGTTCTGGGTTGAACTCAATGCTCAACCCTACAACTGTCGAGATAATCTCTCTGTCATTCGTTATGCCTTGCCAGGCCTGTACGCAGTGGCTTATATATCCAGCCTGAAACGTTTCACAACAACGTTGAAGGTACGTAATCAAGTTTGTTTCGATAAAATTAGGAAAATCACCTACCCTCGATTTCATTTCGTCTAGGAGCATCATTATTTCTTCCCTCGGTCGTTTGGTGTTTGGTTTGTATGTTTTTTGCGACTCGTTGACCGATAGCCCCTTCGAAAAGGAGGTTGGGCGTAACCAGAGGCGGAGGAGTTATTTTTGAAATTGTATTGTTTGTTCCGCCATGATGACGCAGGTCGCCACTCCTTGGCCTTCGTGTCGTTCCTGTATTTCGAAGTGACAGTGTGACCAATACGATTTGTTTCCTTTTTGTCTCGTATTTGTTTTGCCAAGTCATCGCCAAACAGTAATTTTGACGCGGGTTCTACTGTCGCGCTGCAAAGGCTGTGATATTCGGTTTTAAGCGCAGGTTTGAGTCTTTCCCGCCTTAGTTGGGACAATTCGGAGACGCCATGTCCCAAAAGCGCAAGAATATCAATGCAATTTGCTAGCATGTCGTTAAGGTTTTGCTTTGTGGCCGTCGTGGTGTCAGTCTTAAGAGACAAGAGCTCGTTCGCATTCGCCAGAGTCGCAAATGTTACCTTTTGTAAGACCTGCTGCACGTTTGCAACACGAAGATCGTCTTTTCTTTGAAGAGAATTCAATGAACTCCAGATCTCTGGGTTAACCCTCGCTACATTCGTAGCTGAGCAATTTTGGGGCTGGACGTGTTTTGCCAGGGTTGATGTGAGTTTATCCTGAGTTAATTTAACTCCCCATCGTTTGATGGCGATATTCGCCAATTGCTCGTTAACTGGTCCCCCCAGCTCATCTTTATCTTGCAACGCAGCTTCGAGCTCTTTTAGCAGCTGGTCTGCACCATCTTTGTCGTGGCCGGTGACTTTATCGTCAGCATTTTTATTTCCGGAATTGTCCGGTGGATCACCCAAGAGCTGCCGTATATCCTCATCAGAGGCCGTGATACTAATGCTGTCGCGTGCATCAACTTCTTTCGTCCTCTTTGCCGGTGGCTCGCTGGACGAGAATTCTCCGTCGGAGTCTGAATCTACGGGCGAAGCAGAGCGTTCGCTAGAGCGCTTTCGTTTTGACCTCTTCGCGCGTTTCTTGCTCGCAGCTTTTCCGATCGGCAAATGTTCCACTATTTTGCCGAGGAATTCGTGCATTTGCTGTAGCATAGTCGATTCAGTAAGTTGAGGCTTCCCCGGTGGGGTTCCTTCGTCGCCCGGTGGGCTGTCTGGCGATATTTGTGTGCCGGTGGCATCGCCTTGGACCGAATTTACAAATTCTGTTGTCGCCATCTTTGTTGTCTGTTCGCAGCCAACAGAGCGAAACCTGTATTATAATGAGAATTAAGCGACACAAGACGTGAATAACAAAACCTGGTGTGTACTTACGTCAGATTAAACCCAAAAGGTGGTAAGATGCTTGTGAAAAAAGCGTTAAAATTCGATATGTAGATCGCAACCGAAAACCTCGTGTAGAGCGACTGAAAAGCATTCGTACAAAATTGACTGAATGCGCACGCGCGTGCTTCTCATGTAACTTCGTAGTGACTACGACTGGTGACGAGGTAGAATTAACATAAATTGACATTAATTTTATTTTAAGCGGGACTATTTTTGTCAATTGTATGGCATGGGCGCGTTGAACACAAAAGCATTATAATCCGCACAAACGTCATTGTTTGGGTTAGATAGGTAAGTATTACTGTTGATATTTCCTCGGTAGTACAGGTAGCTCTATACTAAAGGGTTTTCTTTGTATATTTGCTTATAGTTTACGTAAATTACATCAAAGTTGAAATACTTGATCTTTGCCTGTGGAATCTTGTTGTTCTTCTATCGCGTAATTTTCAGTAAATTAAGCCCGAAATAGGCGTTATCGTGGCCGCTACAGAATACATAAGATAGTATGCGGTACCCGTATATGACCGGGCTGCCTATGCTAGTACGATGCAACTTCATTCGGCATTACTCAGCAGTGCGTTGTTCAGAAACTTTAAACTATCACAACAAGTACCGGGAGGACGATAATACGCATAGAGGAGAACTGGTTTGTTCGCTTTACTAAGTTGTAAACTAGGTGTAAATTTTCTTTCACCGCAACAAGGACACCACCAGTCACCACCGATCTCGGCGAAAAATATTAAGACCTGGAAGTATTTCTGCATTAAGGACAGTGTTATTTAGCTAGTTTTCGCAAATGCAAATAACTTCGAAACCGCCGATTTCAACCAATAAGAATTTTGACAAGCCGTATAATAATGCATATTATTATATACTCAAGCGCCAGATATGAGGTATGCTGCAATTGCATTGGCTGGCTACTAGACAGATATTAGCTCATATCTGTCTAGTAGAGAAAGTAAACAAAATGGCTGAAAGATTTGGGGAGTAGAGTGAAGTAGAAATCCAAGCTTTAGTTGATAATAGCACACCAAAATGCACCGAAAGGGCGACAAAGTTTGTGTATATAATAAAACAGTACGCGTCTCATCGGCTATCAGCTCATACACGACTCGAGTTCGCAGAATAACTGTTAAATATTCAAGCTTTAACATATGTATTAATAATTATTCTTTGAATGTGAGGTGAATAATATACCTCAAAATCATCTCACTCTTCGTCGAGTCTCCGGTAACTGGGCTCATGTTAACAGCCCCAGATTAGTCAAGTCGCTTTATTAAGAAAAATCAATAGCTTGACATTATACAGGGTGTATCAAAAAAAACGCAACCACTTAATATTCATGAATATCCTCTTTGTTCTACAACACAAAAGACGTTTGGCCCCTGGAATGCGAGAAAGCTTGTACTGATCATATTCTAGCGGCACAATCGTCGGTAAACAAAGTCGGGTGCGTAAACCAACGAGCTGAATTGAAAGTATTTAACGAGTAAAATTTTATTTACAATTTATTTTACAAGGTCGACAGTTAGCATTCAAGTTATCATGCACGACAATAAAAACTCGTTGTTCGGTTGTTAGCTGCACCATTATTAGTTTAGCTGATTTGACTATTAGCAGTTGAACTGTACGATTAGAAGCCATTTTAAAATCCCAGGGGCATAAAATCTATTGAGCTTATGAACAATATGAATTTCAGAATATTAAGTGGTTGCGTTTTTTTTCATACACCCTGTATAAGTTCAAAACTTCTTCTTTATGGCTATAACAAAGTAAAACGAATTAAGGATAATACAGTCTTAAGTAATAATAATATAGTCATGAATTGTTAATGATGGTATATAGTATAAAAGATTGTCCATTTGTATGCCATTGTGTGGCTTTATTGTCTTGAAAGCACCGAGTTTCCTTTTCCAAAATCATCAGAGAGACGTAATGGAAACTTCTCCATTGACCTACGTTTTCTTCCAGGAGGAGGAATCTTAATTGAACTTTGCTCTGCCAAATCTTCACCACCACCAATGAAGGGTACCTTTTCAACTGATCTACGTTCTTTTCCCCGAGGAGGTTTTATTTCTAAGTTAGGTGACGCATCCAACGAACCACTATCAATAAATGGAAGCTTTTCCACTGACCTACGTTTTCTTCTACCATTAGGAGGTATAATTGGTTCATCCAATGAACCGCGTTTTTCATCGAATTCCAAAGGTTTTCCATGACTTGATATGGTGTAAACAATGATGACAACGACAGAAAATATGATAGCTTTGCAGATCCTAGATAATCCAGAAGAAAAAAATAACTGATAATGTATATTGATGATAAAGTATTTCAACGAAATGAATTAATATCTAACATATTAAGGGGCTCTGTCAGTCAAAAAACCTTTTTTTAACTTTGGAGAAGATTAAGCTTTATCCTTCCTATATTACTAAGCAGGTTATTTTGAGCTAAAAAAAGAGTTGTATGGACGTGGTGCAATTACCATAGTTACGAACACCAGACACACCCAATGATGGAAAATTCAATACATTACATACAGTGGGTAGACAAAAAAGTATATATGGTGGTAGAGCCAATAAATGTTTTGTGTTTGGATGCATTTCTTCTGTTTTAGAAACCAGTTCATAAAAATTGTGATTATAAACTCCGGATTAAGAGAATAAACTGCATTTTAACACTTTCCTTCAAAAATTCAAGATGGCGGTTTTCGAGCAGATATGGATGGAAATTGTGAAATTGTTTTCAAATGAATGTCTGTTTCAAAACAAATTCTTCAAAATCCGACTAAATCTTGAATCCAAATTTGCTAGGAAAGTCTACACAGAATTATGTGAATTATATTAGTATTATTAAATAAAGTTAAAAATCGGGCACTGTAAATATACAACAAAATTAAACTAGATTCACTAAATTTCCACACAAAACCTGCCATCATGGATTTTTCTCACATCCTGTTGCTTTAACTTAATTACAGTCTTGACTCACAGAAATACAAAGCTGATTGAGAATAGAAAAACGGACAGGATTTGTTGATTTCTTTTTAAATTTGATGAAGTTAGCTTGTTACTTTTCGACTTATCGTGCGCGAAAGCAAGAGGAACGAGAATTTTAGTTTGGTAAGAAAAGCGATAAAAAACGTTTTGCATATATTCATAAATTTTACAGAATACAATATAGAACAATGAAAAAATAGAGAAATTAGGTCAATCGACCCCTTTTGTTTGCTCAGTGTAAAACCCTAAGTAATAAAACGTTTTGTTTAATTCTAGCGTTCTTTATGCATTTTTAGAACAAAATATTCAGAATCCGTTATAGGGAGACATTTTATTGTATCACCCCAATCTCTGTGCACTTTAACTTTAGCTACTTCAAGTTTCACGCAACAAGCAATCATCAGGCAACATACTATATAACTCATATACGGTAAAAATGTCGCGTACAGTAATGTCCAGAAATAACCTAACACTACGGTTGTAGTTAGGTTGTGGTTAGGTTGCGGTTCAGTTGCGGTTAGGTTGCTGTCGACCGATATAAACCGCAGACGACCGCAAGGGAAAAAATACCTTCCCAGTGACCGACGCGATCAGACCAAGGTTTGAATTAGGTTAACCGCGGTTTTTGTTAGGTTATTTCTGGACAGTGCTGTACAGTGGGGATCGAAAGTCTGAGTCCAGTCGATAATTCTTCCTAATTTACAATAAATGATACCCTCTGAGTTGGAGATTGGAAAATATGTTAATCTGAACTTGCGTATTTTATGATTCAAATGCCTCCCATATGTTTTCTCGTTAATTCTCGTGGTATATCGGTACAAGAAATGCGGATTTTTGAAATGTGGACCAAAGATGGCAAAGAGAGGGTCAACAATGACGGGATGTCTTAGGAAAAAATTGAGGTACGTTTATATGTGTCGAAGGAAACGTTTTGAACCAGGTTTGTATTTAATCAAATGAATATCTGAGAGAGAGCTACTCCTGCAAAGAAGATGGAAAGAAGGTAGAAGGAAAACCAGTGGGAAGTCTTTAATCAATGGTGGAATAGAATTGAACCATTCAATAGGGTTAACAAACCGAAGTGACAACAACCAATACATCGCTGTAAAAAGGCACGAAAATCCGCACAAGCCGTGCTCACGCACAAAATAAATGAAGTTAACGAATTGATTAAGGCTGGAATTATTGTATCACAGTCATACATTTGACATATATCATACTGAAACTGAAAATTTGTGGCAATATTACACTTAAAAATTTTTGGATTGAATTACATTAAACTGCATGTCAGCTGAAATCGGAGCTATGTATCGGAAAACTTCATAATCTATAAGCCTATAGACTGAGTGTTTTGAAAGATATACGTCTACACTATTACGCATTTGCAATCTACCTATGAAATCTTTGATTTTATAATTTGCTTCATTGACAGACATCTTAAAACCGAAGGATTTATTTCTTAAATTTACAGTATTAAGAAAACAAAATGGTATTTGATACTTACATTTTGAGAAACTTGCTTTTTGTTTATAGAATGAATTGTGCAAATGCGCCATGGCCAACACAACACTGCACTGTTTACTGCCATGTTTTTTATTAAACGGTTTCCAAAAACGTGACCTTGAACAAATTCAAACAAGGTCATTATTTCATGCAATCAAGATAATGATATTTCAAGTATATTTATAATTGAACAATTCTCTTAAGATGAATAAACCCAGAGGGTTTGGTTTTTGACGAAAATAAGGCTTAATTTTCAATATCCACTTAAAATTTTTTTTGGTGTTTGGCAGAATTAACATATCCGGTCACGAATAAAATCAAAATTATTCTTCTACTTCTCACGCATCCACTTTAAAGCAATTTTGATGGCGTCAGGGAAGAAACGAGAACATT